GAGGCTGAGATGTTGGAACTTTTGGCAGAGTTGGTACTACTTCTAGGTCGAAAGGCAGATAGTCCTAAATGGTAGCAGTTGCATACTGAAAGGACTTGTCAGACAGACAGACAGACAGACAGACAGATATATTCAGTATAAGGCCTTCGGCCCAAAATACAGACAATATAGGGTTACAAAATATCCCTGCGCATAATACATATTTACATACATTCCATAGTATAAAATAGTACATATGCATGATATAAATATATTATAAATTACATTGCCTTATTTGTTGCACTTTAAACAAAAAGACTGAAGTTTTAAATTGAAGACAAAGGGATGCCTGTTCTACTTGAAATCACTTTAGCTGATCCGATGTCCTTGTTATAATACTCTATAAAATCAACTTCCTCTTCTCTAACTCATCCATACTGAGAAGCACTGAAAATGTCGTCTGCTAGCAAGTAAACAAAGGGGGATAACTCTTAACAAATCATGAAAAAGATTAACAGAGTTGTCTCTCTTGAATTAAACCAAGCACTTGCTATCTGGTCAAGGTTGTTTATACTAGAAATCCAATTAAACATATTCCTAAAATTCTCAATAATTTCTGGTCATACTATATTTACCAATAAGTGTAGTACGGACAAAAATAAAAGCTTCACAGATTAGAAGTACATTATATTCATTTTCAATAAAATACTTTTTGGGGATAAAACAGAGGACAGAGTCTTTCTTCATATGGTGTAGCTTGATGTCTTCCAGTGTTGACAGCTATTCTAAAGTTACTGCATCTGAAGCGTGATAAGATCCTTTTCAAGCGAGATGGAAGTGATGAGTTCAGATGGTATTCAACAGTCAGTAGGGATTTATATTGTTTATATGAATAAGAGTCAGATAGGTTATCCTTGGTCACGGTTGATGGTGGGCTTATGGCGTTTGATGTGAATGGTTTCGGTGAGCTTGCGTTTAGTGAAGTCCGTTTGGTTGTTGGCGAGAATGGTGAAGTCGGACCACTCTATTTGATAATTGGGGTTTGCTTTGATGTGGTCAGAGATAGCTGATTTGGTGTCGGAGTTAGCAACAGAGGTGCGATGTTCTTTGACTCGGGTGTTGATGGGTCGGGATGTTTCACCTATGTAGCTTTGTCCACAATCACAGTTTATTTTATAAATAACACATTTCGGGTTGTTTTCTTCCGTTGGCATGGAGGAGGTTGTTGAGGCTGGAGGACGCTGAGAAGGTTGTGTCTATGCCTGCCTATTGTTTCAGGAGTCGGCTGATTTGATGTGATGGTTTACCTATGTAGGGAATGGATATCTTGATGGGGGCTGATTCTGGTTTAGATCTTTTGGCAGGAGGTGAAAGCGTTGCTTCGATGGTTCTGTTGACTATTTCAGGTGGGTAGTGGTTGCGTTCTACAAAGACTTTCCTTAGGTGTTCAATTTCTTCTTGTAGGTTTGTTGAGCAGATGGTTTTGGCTCTTCTGGTCAACAGGCAGGCATAGACACAACCACACCACATGACATTCACACACCCTTTACATTCTCGCCACACATTCACATCCCTCTTTACATTCTCTCAACACATGACATTCACATTCTTTCATAGATTCTCGCCACACCACAGTCGCATCCCTCTTACATTCTCACCACATGACATTCACACACCCCTTACGTTCTCGCCACACATCCACATCCCCGATAAATTCTCTCAACACCACAGTCACATCCCTCTTACATTCTCACACTCCTTACGGTCTCGCCACACATTCACATCCCTCCTTACATTCTCTCAACACATCACATTCTTTCATAGATTCTCGCCACACCACATTCACATCCCTCTTTCATTCTCACCACATGACGTTCACATCGTTCCGTACATTCTCACCACAATACATTCACATCCCGCCTTACATGCACCTCACATTCACATCCCTCCTCACAACACATGCAACGCTCGCCTTGCATTCTTACAACATGACATTCACATTCCCCTTACATTCTCTCAATACCACACTCACATCCCTCCTTGCATTCTCACAACACCACATTCACATCACTCCTTACTTTCTCGACACACCACATTCACATCCCTCCTTACATTCTCACAACACCACATTCACATCACTCCTTACTTTCTCACCACATGACATTCACATCACTCCTCACATTTTCTCCACACGATAGGCACGACACCCTGTACATTCACGTCACTCCCTTTACACATGATAACCACATCACTAAGTATACTCATGACACATGACACCCGCACCACTATGTACACTCACTTCACATTAACTCATAAAATAGCAGTTGTACAATTTCAGTTTCAGAAATCCCACAGATGGTCCTGGGTATATTTTGTGAGCAGATAACGTGTGGAGTTCGGTTGTGCATCACTGTCTGCTACAAAATCAGTGTCAACATGTGTTGTTGGATCGTTGTATAATGATAATCTATTGATTTGCGTTTGACACGGACACAGTATCGAGTGAAACTGAACCAACAGCCTTTAACAGCACCACTGACTTAGGAGCGAATGTGTTGGTTGAAACATCAAACAAACACGTTAAAGTACACATCACGTATGTATGCCATGATACAATTCCTCACTCACAAATAATATTTTGTTTTAACCTTGAGCACTGAATACACGAGCACACATCAATAAAGGCAACGATCACGAAGCGTTCTCACGAAATACACAGTGCCATTCACAAGCGGTTAAATGAACATGTTACATTGTCTTAGTAAATTACAGATTATGTGCTAAAATCTGTCTTTACTGAGAAAGTGTAACCTCAAATATAACGTATGAATATGCTTTGTCGTTTTACATAAAATGTTTGGCTGCGAACGTTTTCTTTTTTCCAGTTAATGAGTTATATTAATTTGCTAAAGGTCTCAAAAGTCCTCATGGTCTTCTTTGCAGTTAATGCTAAAGAATTGTGTTAGAACAATATTACACTTTCTCCCTTTAATGTTTTCGTACCAAATATATCATATATTATCTCTTCAATAACAGCGAAACAACCATTTTTCAAAACCCTCTTTCCTGTGCAGGTGTATGATCTGTTTGTTATCACAATCCCCTCGAATGAGTCCACTCTTTCTAATTCTTGGAGCCATTAGAACTTAAATGTTAGTATGAAGGTTAGTTGCTTGTATGGAACAGGACACAAACTGATATGTGGCAGTGCTATTGATTGTGTATCAGTGACGAGTGTTTAGCGAAACACGGATTCAAGTACCTAAAATCATAGATATTCTGGAGAACAGCGATCCTTTTTCAAATATGCATCCATAAATCGTAGATACACATGGAAGAGAATCGACTTTATAACACAAACTGGGGCAGTGTTATTCTTTGTGTAATTATCTTCCAAGTGTAATGAATTGTATATTTGGATAGTCGTTGAGGGACATGGTTTGCTATATTTCGACTTGTGCTATATTTAAACGGTTATGGACGTTAGCACAGGGAAGTACGACCCTACAGAATGTTTCAGTATATTCTGACCCAGGCAGTTGGTAAATCTCCTGCAGACATGTTCATAGGTATGTAAGAGGAGCTCCCTCTTCCTCTTAATCCCGTGTTACATCTTACAACCTACATGAAGAATAGCAGCGTGGACATAATTTTTTCCCGGATACTCTGCCTATTTTGGAAACTGCAATGAATTGAATATTATCATCATTGTTTTCAGTGCTATAATCACTTCCTTCGTACCATTTGAGTTTGTATTGCCATTCTTTGGGGTCTTTTTTTCTTTTTAGTTATTTTTTTTCGTTTTTTATATTTGCTTCTTCTCTAATACCTTAGTAGTCATTGGCTACAAATTAGTAAACTTAGTTAATTTCATAACACAACAGTTAATTACATCACATTTCCTTGTTGTTTGTTTTCTTTCAACTTGAGAATCAACACATAACAACGTGGAACAAGATTTCTGAGTTAATACCAAGGTCTCACGATGTTCTTATTTGTCTGCTGTAGCGTCTGACCCGTGAAGATCCGGGATAGAATAGGTCTTCAGCATCCCATGCTTGCCACAAAGGGCGACTATGCTTGTTGTAAGAGGCGACTAACGGGATCGGTGGTCAGGCTCGCTGACCTGGTTGACACATGTCATCGGTTCCCAACTGTGCAGATCGATGCTCATGCTGTTGATCACTGGGTTGTGTGGTCCAGACTCGATTATTTACAGACCGCCGCCATATAACTGGAATATTGCTGAGTGCGGCGTAAAACTAAACTCACTCACTCACACACTGCTGTAGCGAATATCAAGGGGTCTTTATTATATGTCGTATATCTTGGACTAGCATCTAATGATTTTTGCAATTACAATTGGCTTCATATGGAATTATTCATTCTCATCATCATTTTTTGATATCCTAGTTGAACCCTGAAAAAAATGACTGCATGAGAGGTGAAAACAAGGGTTATTACCTACTAAATTATTGCATTGAAGAAGTAGTTGTTTGTCTTTTGGGGACAGATTATGTTATTATGTTACAATGTATAAGAAAAATACGAGAGGCACCTACAACCCTTTTCACAGATGAGTTTAGTTCGCACCTCGTGCGGATTACACAGTGTCTTCAGTTAAATCGGTTATGGTTTCAAATCAAATTCAGAGACTATAAGTTCGTTCTAACAATAATCTAATTATCAAACTCAGTATGGTTATCGTCCAAGGAGTTCTTGTTAATAACGGATGCAGAGGTCCCGAGTTCAGATAAATTGTGGGAGGCCTATTTCAGTTGTCTCATGCTATGAGGGGCGGCAGGGTAGCCCAGTGGGTAAAGCATTCGATCGTCTCTCCGAACACCTGGCTTCTATTCCCGACATGGGTACTCACTCACTCACTCACTCTTGCTTTGGTATAACCGGAATAATGCTATAAGCGGTGTAAAACCATGCCAACTCACTCATCAAATACCATTTAGATACAAAAGTGCCTCAATATAAGCAGAACAAGACAAAGAAAAACAACAACACAAGACAACATGCTGAAGGCTTTATTTCACCTCCTGTTGCAGGATTGCATGCAAACTGTCCCTCTGTTACAGGTTTGCATGCAAACTGTCCCTCTGTTGCAGGTTTGCATGCAAACTGTCCCTCTGTTGCAGGTTTTGCATGCAAACTGTGCAAACTGTCCCTCTGTTGCAGGTTTGCATGCAAACTGTTGCAGGTTTGCATGCAAACTGTTGGTGTATGATATGCGTTCCTTTTCACAAATAAAATGTGATGGTTTTTGACATTGATAATCATTCCACAGATAGTTTCCTAAAACCCGTCTTAACTCAAGACAGTGTTCGATACCTCCCGCATTATCAGGTTGTCCTGGATTCCAGTTTGTGTAGTTCATGCGGCGTTGTCCTTCCCACAGCCATCTCCCCTCTATGTTCAGATCAGAAGCACCAAGCCAGTAATTGAAAGCTGCAAACAGGGGACAGCTGAAGGAATTCAGTATATCGATACCAAGAAATAGATTGTATAAACTTGTGTTATGTAAAGTTTAAACTAGTATCAACTGTCTAATAGAGTAGGTATAGGTTAAGAGAATTACCCGCTGTGTTTGGTAAAGGTAAGAACTGCAATGTTTCTGCATACGATTCTCTTATATCAGAAGAATATTGAAATCGATTATTATAATATCAGTGATGTCTTCTTCTCTGACTACTATTTATTTATTACAACACAGTCGTGTAATGAGAAATCAGTGACATCATTCCACACATTGCTGTAATATTGCAAAACACAAGCCCTGAGAGTCTCATCAAACATCCCTTAGGAGCGGTTTGTCTCAGGCTGCACCTGCCGTGAGGAGTATGAGGTAAGGGTGCAGGCATGGGAGTGCAAGGTGTAATTAAAGCAACAGGTCATATTAAAGTCTCACCTTCACCAAGACGGGTAGCATATCCCCTGATGAACGAATCTTCATCTTTGTTTGATATTATGGCAAGGTGGCTCTCCAAGTATCGACAGTAGCCCTGAAAAGTACACTCATTATTCAGTGCATCTCTTTATTACATAAATACAGTAGACTAAAATTGTTCAGGTCGAAAAAGGTGATAGTTGCTCATATTTTTATCTGTGACAGAAATGGACTTTGTAAAAATCCAGCTTTGCGGCACTTCCGGTGGCGCTCATGTCGACAGGGCGAGGTCCTCTGCCAAATCCATCTGAATCTGTCTTAAATGGACACAAAAACAATCTCAAGGAAGACCACACGTGGAAATAAAGGTAAAGAGGAACAGGGACACAGTTTAGACAACTTTATTGTTACAAGAAGTAAAACTGCATCAAAGGCAGCGGCCATGTTGGTTAGCGACTTTGAAGAAATGAAAGCTTTCAATGAAAAATCTCTCCAGGACCAAACGCTCGACATGGGTAGCAAATTAGACAATATTAATACTGAACTAACTCCTCTCCAGAAGAAAACGGACGAAATTGTGAATTCAGTGGAATTTAACGCTTCACAAATTGAAGCGTACTATGATAAGAGACAATAAAGATATCAAAGGTATTAAACTCAATTGAAGGAAGAATATAAATTGGAACAATATGCTGATGATACTCAATTATATTTGGCCTTAAAGCAGTTGTAGAAAGTTTACACAAATTCTATTAAATGTCAGGGCCTAAGATAAACATTGAAAAAACAAAAGCTATTTGGATAGGTTCAATGATTGGTAGCACAGTGAAATTATGTGCAGAAAATAGCCTAGACTGGCATGAAGGTGACTTTAACATCCTTGGTATATATTGGAGGATTTATAGGTAATCAATACTAGAAAAAGACTAGAAACAATTAATAAAATTCTTGCTAGTTGGAAAAAGAGAAAACTAACCTTACATGGGAAAATTACAGTCTTGAAAACATCGGCAATATCAACTTTAGTACATATTATTTTCTGTGTTACCATCACCCCCTAAGGAAAATCTTATATGGGGCAAACATTTTTTTTTTTTGTCTTTCAATGATGTAAAAAAAGCTTAACTGCACCAAAGGAACAATTTTAGAGTACAATAAAATGATTATAAATATTCCCAAATCTTGAAAAAAATACTTTTTATCTGATCCCGTAGGTACTGAAAACCTCTCACTAAACTCAAATCTTCAAGACCTACTTTCTCAAATTTTCTATGACAAACATATAGCAAATGATACTCCACCTACAGTTTGTCAGATATGGCAGAATGAACTAAATACAGATATTTCATGGACATCTTGCTTTAAAAATACAGATACTGCACAAACCATGTAAGGCTTATAGATTTTTAGTATATATTTATGAACAGAGCCATTTATACGCGAAAGAGTTGGTGCAAATGAAGATAATTGAAACAAATATGTGCTCTTTTTGAGCCAGAAAGCCTCCAACGTGTATTCATAAAGTGCAATCTTGTACAGGATTGTGGGAGAAAGGTTGAAAACTTTATTAATCCTACACATTGTGATGTTCCTATTTCTGATGAAGACATTCTCTTTTGCAACAGTTCAGTTAGTCTGTTAGCAACATACATTGTCCTGCTGGCTTATCCATTGATTGTCTTGCTAATATCGTCAAAGATGTGTACAAAGTAGAAAGAATTATTGCTTGTAAGAACAATGTTTTGCCTAAATTTCATTCCAGCTGGAAACCTCTGAACAATGTATTACATATATTATAAAATCATACACCTGACATGTCCATGATTTTTTGAGCGCTTCATTGCTGATGCTCTGAAAAACATTGATAAATGTAATCAACTGTACACCTTCTGAACTGAAATGAATAAACAAAATTTGAAAAATCAAAACAAAAGTTTCCGCAATCCAAATATGAAAAAATAAAGGAACACTTGTGCTTTCATGTGATCCCTTATTTTTTCCCCAGTATATATTGGTCTGTGGAAAATATTTTTACTTTATGTCTATATATTCTGCCGAATGCATTATTCTTTGCAATATAACTACATTTCGTCCCCGCTGGTGCAAATATGTCTAGTCACATAGTGCTCAATTGTTTGCATATTGTGCTATAAAATACTGACTTGTTGTTGTTATACTGTGTATAAGAGTTTGTTATTTATTCGGGGCCTAGATTTCCGAAGCTCACTTAGCGCTAAGATAGTTGTACGATAATGTTAATGTATGGCACTTACGACAATCTTGGCGCTAAGAGAGTTTCGAAAATCCAGGCACAGTACTTTAATCAGATTTTGTTGTTGATCCTGTGCTGATGTTGAAATGTTGTGTAAGAGTGATCAGATGTATGTACCTGTATAATACGCTTACAATGTTAGAACCCGTCTGTTTTAGATATTTACTAGAGAAATGTGTTCTTTATTGAAGACAATTGTATAAACTGCAAGTGATTCTATGGCGTTTGATTGGCTGACCAAGTAAGTAGAAGAAAACTGTCACATGCACAGACAACAGTTACTATTTGTTGATTGGCTGACAACTGTATGAGTGAAGTTTGTGTTGTAGTTTGCGCATTCATAACTACTCATGTCATTCTGGCAACCTGGATGGCGACTCGTACCCCTATCGTGGCCATGTTCACGACTGGGCCTTGTCTAAAAGCAAAAGGTCAGGAGATGAAAATTGTTTAGAACTATTTCCAAGGAAATATCACTTTCAATTACCAAACATGGTACTCCTAGAAAATCCCATATCCCATGGGCAAAACAGTTATACACTCATTCCCTTCGTTAAGATGTTTCAGTGTTGAGAGTTGCTGATCCTTTAGTTCAAAGTTTATGTTTAAATTGTGCTTTGCATAGTTTAGAGAAGTTTCAAAGTTTGACGGTGCCGCTATTTTCATGCTTCGAAATGCGTTTTAATACGCGCGATTTGATTGCTTTGCCACGATTCTTGGCTATAATGGCATACTAGTCTTTTTGTAGGTCATGGAAAGAGGCGAGTAGTTACGAATGGTAGTTTGCCCTGAATGATGTCACTAATTTTGTGTCCTTGTCTATAGTATGTAGTGTGTTGATGATAATTATTATGATTATATATTTTTATTATTGACATATTCATAGGAGTTAATGTCAGCGTGTTTGTACATTTATGCAGGTATTAACATTAAAAGGTGTGCAAAATTATACTTTTCACATTGATACTGCCATAAATGTAGATACTATAGATGTCAGTTCTAAAATAAAACAAACAATTCAAACAGAGAACAGTATTTTAGTCATGTGAAAGGATTTCAGGCTTTCTACATTGTCAAAATCAGGCAAAGAAAATTAATGGTTAAATTATATGTAAATATTCCAGATTGCCAAGATCTCAGGTGAACCATATCTCAAGAACATGAAATAGTTTTTATTTAATTTATGTTTTTTTATGAAATATTCTATCTTACCTATAAAAGGAAATATTTTTTGACAGAGTGAAAGGTTCATGACATGAACTCAGTATTTTACCTCCCCTTTGCCAGATGTCTTCTGTTAAAATGACCTTGATGTCAAATTATACACTGACAAGTTTGGAATAAACGTATGAACAGGAAAAAAACCAAACTTTGCGGCAAAAACATTCCACTTTCCCCAATGTCAACATCTGCGTTTGGGATTTAAAAAGGCAGGTCCGATGAATATCCTCTTGCGATGAAACTCCTCGGGCAGTTTTGTTCACATCCGTCACTGACAAGATGCCACAGAGATACAAAATACTGACACTTCTGGGTTCACGTCATCCTTTATGGCAGCTATGTCATCGTTATATATTTCTTATGTATTTGAAACTTCTTATGCTAACAGCTTTTGTAGAAAGCTGGCCACGCAGTTTCGTTGGGCGCTATCCTTCTTGTTCACAAATTGATATGAAATTTTAATGGGATTTTACATTAATTACCCAATGGCAAAAATACTATTTATTGTTTCGGTTAAGTTACACGGTGCATCAACTAATTCAAGTTCAAGACAAATATTCAAGTATTTTCTATGAATGTGTCATTCTTTGTTTTTCAGCTCTATATCCTGTTTGCGCCTCAGAAACCATATGTGACAATGTGCATGGAAAATAATATTTAGGTTGAATTGTTTTGAGTATATTCTTTTTCAAAATATATAAAACGACAATACTAAATGGAAGTATATATCAAATAAGATATTTTATGTGTCTGAATCCAGTCAGACAATCCAGTGCTGAACCTCATGGGTGTCAATATTCTTAACTGGAACACAATGACACGAGTCAACCAAGTCCACGCACTGGACCAACCGACCGTTAGTCGCCTCTGATGGCGTGCCTGGGTTGCAGTTCTCACCCGCACCTTACAAGAGGCCAAAATCTTTCAACTTACATTTTACCAAACCAATTACTATGGTGGTTTGATACTTTATTTATTGCATAAGTATGAAAGTGAGTGAGTGAGGGAGTTAAAATTTAAAGTCACATCCGCAATATTTCAGCCATATCGTGACTAAAACTAGTTCTTAACTTATAATACATACAGATAATATATAAAACCCTGTCAACGAAGGACAGTAAAACCACCACATTATCACAAAATGAGTTAAAACTAGCTGGCATGTAACTTTAAAAGTAGAAAACTATTTTTGGACAATACAATGTAATAATGGGCCAGTAATCGCCAACAACTGAAGGTAGATCACCATACTAGGGACCATGGGGACTTAGAGTGTCTTTGCTACCTGCATGGACCCTACCTGGATTAATAAGTATGAAAGACTGAATTTTGTAAAGTCCAGAAAGGATATGTTTTTTTACAATTCTAAACTCGCTCACTCACAGGTGGCAAGAATATTCAATTTCTGTGATACTAGTTGTTTTTTGGTGGCGTGGTAATTTGAAGCCCATTGGGATACAGTATTTCATTGTCTCAGTTCCTTTAAATGTGAGAAGAATGTACATAATAGTCCTATAACACTTACTGCCGCCTCTGCAAACGAACTTCTAATGGTTGAGAACCAGTAGCAGGATCTTCTGTTTTGATGAAATCCGAGTGGGCATCCTGATAACAAATAATGTCAATCATACTTAGCATCACCTGGAAACAAAGTAGAACATCTGTGAAACAGAAAGCTTAAAGTACTAGCAAAGGAAGGAGGGACTGCATAAAAATGGGCTTTACATATTGTACCCACGTGGGGAATCGAACACGGTCCTCTTGTCGATACAAAGATATATACCCTTCAGCTTTCATCATATTTATGAATTGATGTAAAATATGCCAGAAAACCCCTTTCCTTGTGTGGAAAATAACGACTTAGATAGTAGATGTTGTCTATGTATCAGCGGACTTAGTGACATTTGGAGCTCGTTTAAACACCTGTCACAAACACATGCAAAATCAAGTTGTCTTAAACTGTGAAAATGAGGAATTCAAATGGGGAATTGTATAGGATACAATGTTTGTCCCTGATGAGTCCAGGCACCTTTGAAGAGCCCACCAGTGGCCCGTGTGGACCCGGGGACATATAGGTCTACATCACCTCATTGCTGATCGTAAGACCGATTTGGGCAACGTGTTTCCCGTGGGTTGCAACCCTGTGTCGGTGGAGGATGGGAGTCTTGTGGTTGAGGGCAATAAGAGCCTGGAACCGTGTTTCTTTTGCCCAGACACCACTTTGCCCCTGACTTCAGCTTGACGGGTTGTAGAATTGGCTCGATTCAATCAATCGGCTGGTCACGCCAAGCCCTGTCCATGGACAAAAGTTGAGTTGAGTTGGGCTTTACGTCACATCGGCAGTATTCCAGCCATATAGTGACGGGAACAAGTCTGCATTGATAAACATTGTAAGTGCAGTGTCAAAGTGAGTTTTATTTCAATAACATATATTCATTACATTGTCATTTAAATTCTAACTTCCCTCAGGTAGTTCACTATCAGATGAGCGCTCACGCGGGAGAACAGATCTTTCCGACTTGTTGCATCATAATGTGAGTCCCTTGCAGACAATAAGTCCACACAATCAAGCAGAATATGCTTGATGGTGAAAACCTCATCGCAAGAGATACACATGGGGGGTCCATCCCCATCCGTTTTCAGCAGATAGTCATGAGTAAACTGACTGTGGCCAATACGACATCGTCGTAAAATTACCTCATCACGTCTTGACTGACAACCCAAGTAGGTATAACCAATTGTTGGCTTCAGTTCTACTCGGGTGTCCCACAAAATTCTTATGCAATTATTGTTCATTCTTTTGACAATGAATGTTTGTATTTCAAATTATGTTATATATGTTATATATATGTCCTATGCCAGAAGGCGGTCGTTCATGGGCCAATCTGGTGAATAATGTTTACCTCCAATTTCTTGTCAAGGGCCGAACCAGTCTGACTTTAAATTAGTAGATAAATGCAGCTGTTCATGTCATATTTTCTGGAGTGTAACACCCCTGTATCCCTGGTGTCAGCATCTCGGAGGGGGCACGAACAGGCTTTCGTCAATAATGTTTTTCGTCACTATGAGTCTAATCTTGAACATTTGATATAGCCCATCAACCCCCTATTGTAGTAAGCTTCAAACCTATGTTCATACTTCTCAATACCAGGCTTGCGATTCTGCACAATGTGGTCCCTTGTTCGACCAAATAGGTTTTGTACTTTGTGGTAGACAATGTGACGTGCTACTGTTTCTGTTCAGTTTTGTAAATAAAGTATTCATGGCGTCACATTCAACGTCGATATATTTTGGTGATTTAAACCGTTTATCACTCTTTGTGAATTTTGCCAAATATTGTAGGCACAGAACTTTAAATTCCTGTCGTGGCATCGTTCACGACAGAGCGCGATGTCTTTCTGATATGACTGAAGAAGATATTGCTACAGAGCTAAAAGAACAAGCTGTTACAGCAGTAAAACGCTTCACCGTTTAGAGAGAGGGTGTCACAGTTAAAACTAATACGTATCTCTTGACGTTTGCTCGTTCTACTATTCCATCATCAATCAAAGCAGGATGTTTGATCATCGGAGTGGAGGTGTATGTACCCAATTCACTCCGGTCTTATAAATTATAAAAGTTCGGCCATGGTTCTCAATCGTGTCGTAACCCTATTAGTTACACGGTGTTTTTGACTGTAAGACCCTTGTAAATTCCATATTTCCTGAGGCACAGCCTCCAAGGTTTTGTCTCCAAGAAACCTACCTAAAAAGGACTGATAAATTTGACATCCGTCGGTACATTTCCTACCACTCCTTTTCTCCTCCCGGTGTAAAAGCTACAGGAGGCACTTCTATCCTGGTGAGTCAGGACATCCTCCATAACCCTGTTCCACTTAACACCAACCTACAAACTGTTGCTGTCCGCATGACTCTGAACATAGGGTTTACACTATGTTCACTATATCGTCCCCCTTCCTCAACTATACGCCTAGCACATCTTCAGAACTTGTATGATCAGCACCCGAAGCCCTGCATAATCATAAGCGACCTGAACAGCCATAACCCTCTATGGGGGAGTACTGATACAAATAATAAGGGAAAGGTCCTTGAAGATTTTCTCTCAAATAATGATCTATGCATCTTCAACGATGGATCAAACACTTATCTCCATCCTGCCACTAGAACATACTATCACTCACAGATTCTAATCTTTTAGACAAGCTTGAATGGTCGGTCCGCAATGACCTTTGTGGAAATGGCCACTTCCCAACAATTCTTACTCCTATAAATCCCGTGGATGAACCACCTTCAACAAGGTAGAATTTTACTAAGCCCAATTGGCCATTGTTCCAACTGAATGCCGTTAAAATGACAAATGCCAGGGCAAGACGTACATTTAAACAAACTAAACGCCGGTCTTCGAGGAAGTAGGTGTCCAAACTCAACTCCCGCACACGCATGTCCAAGGTGCGGAACAGCATGCAAAAGATTAAGAGCAAAGGATCCAAATCTGGAGTTGGCCATCTTAAAGATGGTGGCTCTCTTTTAACAAATATATTTGAAATTGCAAACAAACTTGGCGAAACTTTGGCAAACCACTCCTCCTCATCTAATAATAACCCTCAGTTCCAGAAATACCAAACCCAACAAGATAAGAAATCAGTCAATTTTAACTCTGATAATGGAGAGGATTACAATGAAACGTTTTCTCTCCATGAAGTACGTACTGCCCTGGGGCAGGCTCACGACACTGTGGCGGGAGCTGATGATATTCATTATCAACTTCTGAAACACCTTCCAGATTCAAGTTTGGAAACTCTACTCAATATATTTGATGACATTTGGACAACCGGAAACTTTCCTCCTTCGTGGCATAATGCCATTATCATCCCTATACAAAAGCCTGGCCGGGATCATACCGATCCCTCAAACTACCGTCCTATATCACTAACTAGCTGTGTTTGTAAAACAATCGAGCGAATTTTCAACAATCGATTAATCTAGTACTTGGAGACCATTAACTTCCTTAGTGTGACCTCCAGTGTGGTTTCCGAAGTACCATTGACCATCTGGTCTGATCCCGTCCAGGCTTTGGTACAGGGATGATATTTAAATGGCATTATGCCATGAAAGAGGAACATTTCCAGATATTCAAATGTCATGAAATATATGTTTCCGTCAGGAGGGTCTGAAGAAGCATCAACTATACCCTGTGGATTGGTTGGCAGAAATGGTATACACAGGCCACTCCGGGAAGCAATTGACATGACATGGTTACTGAAATTCATAAATAAATAAAGAAAATAGTTACCTGCATACGCTGTAATACAAGGCAAAGCAGGGCAGACAGGACCTCGACGTGCATGACAGGTGACTTCAACTCAGCAGCACACAACGCCGTGTGTGCAGGGGGGCTGACAACTCGGCTTTTATGTCTTGTTTTAGGAGTGGGCAGATCCGGGACAAATGCAGCTGTTGCAGAATCTTGCACGAGGCTAACACAATGTATTAAATCAGAGCACATGTAAATAGCTGAAGAGGCCAGAGAACTCGGCTTGATAAGGTGCTAAAACCAGAGTCGATTGTACAATTTTGTTTAGATCATGAGTACATATTAGGTTCAGTAGTGTTACTGCTGTATGATGTTGTTTTTAAAAGAAAACGTGTTCACTCAACTGACAATGGATGATACAATTATAATTATTTTAGCAGAATATACCTACTGTCTTAATTAAACTGAAATTATAAAACAAAAGCACATCAATAAGTGAATTGACATGTAATATTCGCCTAACATGCAGTTTGTCCCGTACATGTGTGAACGTTCTTCAGTGCGTGAATGATCTTTGGAATGCCACGGAACCTCAAAGTGTCCATTAATAGGAAATAAGGACTAAGGTCAATCTGTCGGGATATCCAGATGTCTGGATGCATGGGTGGATTGGCGGATGGATATCTACATAACTGACTGGAATACTGCCGATTTGACGTAAAAATTCATCTCACTCACTTACTTACTCAAAACAACTGATAATTTTAGTAGCGTGGACATTTTGTTCCTTTGTAACTGGTATTGCAAGATCAAAAGGAACCACACCCTACACGTCACATGACGACCACACCACACCCTACACCCGTCACATGACGACCACACGTCACCCTACACACCAATCACATGCCGACCACACCACACCATACACACCCGTCACACGACGATCACACCACACCCTACACGCACATCACATGTCAACCACAGCACAACCTACACACACTTCACAATGCGATCACACCCCGCCCTCCACACACGTCACATGACAACACACCACACCCTACCCACATATCACATGACGACCACACCACACCCTACACACCAATCACCAAACGACACACACACACACCCTACACACACGTCACATGACAACCACACCACACCCTACACACACGTCACATGACGACCATACCATACTACACCCTACACAACAATCACATGACGACCACACCATATCCTACACACCCGTCACATGACGACCACACCACACCCGACACACCCGTCACATGACGACAACACATACCTTACACACACACACATCACATCACGACCACACCACACCCTACACACCCGTCATATCACGACCACAACACACGCTACACACACGGCACACTACGATCACATCACACCTACACACCCGTCATATGACGATCACAACACACACTACACACACGTCACATGACGACCACACCACACCGTTCATTCCCGTCTCACAACAATCACACCACACCCTACACCCTCGTCACATAACAACCACACCACACCACACCACACCTTACACACACGTCACATGACGATCACACCTCACCGTTCATTCCCGTCACACAACAATCACACCACACCCTACACACCCGTCACATGACGACCACACAACACCCTACACACACGTCACATGACGACCACACCACACCCTACACACACGTCACATGACGACCACACAACACCCTACACACGGCACATGACTACTCCACACCCTACACACACGTCACGTTGACGACCACACCACACCCTACCCACACGTCAAATGACAACCACTACACAACCTACACACACGTCACATGGTGACGTCACCCTACACTACTACACACACGTCACATCACCCTGCAAACACGCCACATGAGAGAGAGAGATATGCAACAAAAACCAAACCAAAAGGGTTCGCATCCCCTAAACTCCCTAAAACAAAAGAAACAGAGAGAGAGGGAGAGATATATACACACACACAAAAGCCAAAAGGGTTCGCAGCATATAATATTCAACATTTGTTATATTTGGGATAACACTTTCTTGGTAATGTAAACATTTCACTACATAATCTGTAATTTTACTGAAACAATATAACATAGTACCTTTCACCACCTTACAAATGGCACTGTATATTGGAGACAACATTACGTGTTCACTGCATTTTAGTCATGGGTGTATGTATATTCAGTGCTCAGAGTTTAACAAAATATTGTTGTTAACTTGGGTGCGTATCGTAGCATACATACGCAATGTGTACATTAACAGTTTTTTTAGTGTTTCACCCAACACACTCGTTCCCATGTCAATGGTGCGACAGCATATAGTTAAAAGCTGTTGTTTCAGTTTCACTCGATACTGTGTCCGTGTCAAATAAACATCTAAACATTATCATTTTATATCGATCCAGCAACACATGCTGACAATTGCACTCCATTATCTGCTCAGAAAACCAGGATCATCTACGTGATTTTGAAAGTTTAGACTATTAAAATGCTTTCGTTGTGAGCTTATGTGAGATGAGTGGAGTTATTGGTGTCGCTGTCATATGTCAAGTGTCATGTGTCATGTGTCATGAGCGTAGTTAGTGATGTGGGTATGTGACATGAGAACAGCAGTGTGGTTGTCGTCGTGTCACAAGTGCTTTTGTTATAAGTCTATGTGACGTGGGTGTAGGGCGTGGTGTGGGCATCATGTGACGTGTGTGTAGGGTGTGGTGTGTTCATCTTGGAGCGTGTTGGTTATGTTGTGGTGAGTGAGTGAGTGAGTGAGTTAGTATTTAACGTCACCTCGGCAATATTGCAGCCATATCGTGACGAGAAATGATTTATATAAATAATAAATTAAAGTTGCTAAAGAATCAGTCAGCGAAGGACTGTAAAATAACTAGAGCATCACAGATGGAGTCTAAAACTAGCATGAACATGTAAAACTATTTTATTTACGAAGACAATACAATATAAAACAGGCTATAGATCGCCAACAACTGAAGGAGATCACCATACTAGGAACCATGGGGACTTACATTACTTTTGCTACCTGCATGGACCCTAGTTGGATTTACACCATCCCTTCAGCCATTGGCGACAGAAGAGAAATCGAGCCATAAATTAAAAAACACACTTATTCTACGATTAAAAAGCAGGTACACTTAGATTGACTAAATGTTTTGGGACTTACGTACCCTCCTCAGGAGGACAATAATTTTACAATACTTCAACCCCTTTGAGGATACAGCCACTAACAATCTCAGCTGCTAATCTAAACTACCAATAATAAAAATATATATCTATTTACAAATCACTCAACAAATCTATTTTTTTTTAAAATGCAATAATTAAATGAGAACTGACATTATTAAAAAAGATCCTTCAGAGTTTTGGATTTGAAATAGATATCCCTTGTGATGGAATATTCAATGCAGTCAAGCAAGACATGCTTGACTGTGATTCTTTCATCACAAGGGATGCAAAACGGAGGATCTTCGCCTTTAAGCAAATATTCATGGGTATATCTAGTATGGCCAATGCGACATCGCCGCATAATGACCTCTTCAAATCTGGACTGACAACCCAAGTAGGTGTAACCAATGTAGGGTTTTATTCCATGTAATTTATTAATACCTACTTGGGTGTCCCACTTCTTCTGCATTAGATCGCGGATGTATGTTCTAATGCTGGCTTTGTAATCAGAGAATGGAATAAGAAGTGGTGTCACAGATTTGTTGAGTGCTGCCTTAGCAGCAAGATCGGCCATTGTATTCCCAGAAATGCTAACGTGGCTGGGTAACCAACAAAAGACGATGTCGCATTGGCCAGTAGCAAGTTCATTGTACAATTCAATAATTTCTAATAAAAGTGGATGTTTGCAAGAAAGATTTTTAATAGCCTGAAGACACGAAAGAGAATCTGAAAAAGATGATATATTGTTTATATTTACGATGTTTATTAATATATTTAAGAGCTGTTAAGATGGCGTTTGCTTCTGCTGTGAAAATAGAGCTGTTATTTGGTAGTCGAGAAGATATTGTTTTGGATCCAATGACAGTGGCACATGCCACTGCGCCACCATCCTTGGACCCATCTGTAACTAAGGATTTATATGTTTTATATTTATTTCTTAATTGACTAAATTTTGTTTATGCTGTAATTCATTTGTTTCTGATTTTTAAATGTGGTTAATGTTAGGTCAACTTCAGGCCTAACCAATTGCCATGGCGGAGAAGAAAGAAAACGGGAAGGAGCTGTATGTTCTAGCTCAATGCCAGCAGCAGAAAGGAAAGGTTTCAATCTTATACCAAGAGGCGGAACAAGAGAAGGCTTTTTGTTATACAGATCTTCATATAGAGGATTAAAGACACAGTTATATGCAGGGTTTGACTCATTGGAATAAAGTTTTGTAATATTCTGTAAAGTTAATTTTATACGGCGTTGTGTAAGAGAAGGCTCATCTGCTTCAACATATAGACTATCAATAGGAGAGGTTTTAAAGGACCAAGACAGAGTCTTAGACCTTGGTGGTGAACAGAATGAAGTAGTTTTAGGTTGCTTTTGCAGGCTCCGCCATATACGATGGAGCCATAATCAAGTTTCGAGCGGACCAATGATCGATACAGGTGGAGGACGGTAGCATGATCCCTCCCCACTTTGAGTTGGAAACAACTTTCAACAAATCGAGTGCCTTCAGGCATTTGGCTTTAAGTGATTTAATATGTGGCAAAAGGTTAAATGGGAGTCGAAAATTAGACCTAAGAATTTGGCCTCCTTAACAACTTTGATGGAGTGCCATTTAAAGATAGTTCAGGATCTTTTTATGCGGTTTATATTTTCTACAAAAGTGTAGACAATTAGTTTTGGATTTGGAAAATTTAAAACCGTTTTCAAGACACCATTTATTTATTTTATTTAAACACAACTGCAATTGCCGTTCAATAGTATGCATATTTTTACCACGACAAGAAATGTTAAAATCATTCACAAAAAGTGATCCATCAATGGAATCGTTTAAAACCTTGGATAAACTGTTAATCTTGATACTAAATAAAGTGACAGACAAAACACTGCCTTGAGGGACACCCTGATCCTGAT